AGGTGCCCTCGCCGCCTTACAACAGGCTCGGTGCAAGGGCAGATGGGGGTGCCGCAGGTTGAAGGACTCGAGAGATGGGGAGGGGACGTAAATGTTAACACGTTGAGGATTTGGATATCCTCACAAGCTTGTCTCATTAGCTGCTAATTGGCAAGACTTTCCCTCATCTTTTGTTCTGCGTAAGGTTTGTCTTTTTTTTGGGGGGGGGGGGGGCAGCGGGATGGCGGACTACATATTTCAAGTGCTCCATGCTTCGCTGAGAGAATGTTAAGCCCATATTACAGCAATATAAACACTTCTGTCCTACGATTAACCTTAAAAAGCAACTGAGTGCAAAACTAAACGCTCAACCTGTTCAACCAAATTAGCTGAGATCAAGGGGGGACAGCAAAATAGAAAGAAATAGCAGAAGAATAGTGAGTGAGAGAGAGGGTGAGAAGCAAGGACAGGGGTGCTTTTTTTCCCCTTTCCTTCCCGCTCATTCACCTCTGCCAACTGGGAAATCGTTGAAAAACATCAACACGGCTAAATGGCAAATTATTACCAAAGCTCCCCTCAGTGCGGGGTACAAAGCAGACATATTGGAGTTGTCATGCAGGGGGATGGCCAGTACTTTCCTAGAATGATTCTGAGTACTGCCCTCTTTGACAAACATTAAACAAGACAATAAAATGCATAGGTAAAAGTGTACTTTCCTACCAAAGCAGGGATGGCTAGACATTTGGTTGGGCAATATGCAAAGGTTTTCAAATTGGCCATTATCAGCCCAACCAACACTGAATGACGATATACACACGCAGAGGAGTGCACGCCAGTATCGGCGAATGCTATTATGGAAGAGCTGTGACCACTTGTGATCAGATCTCACTTCACTACTCTGTATATATTTACACCAACAATTGTGTTCACGAAGACCAAATTGTGTTGTTTTTACTCAGAATAAAAGACTTAATGCACTCATCTAAGAAAAGTTTTACTAATTTAAGAAGAGCAGCGATCATTATGTGGGGATCAGCGTTGATATTGTTGCGGTTGTTCCAAACAAATCAACGTTTAACCTATAGCAGGTCAGAGACATCAGAGTCTGCATGAACCCCATCTTCAGCTTGTGTGCTGGGACAGAGGCAGAACTTTGGCATAACAGGCAAAAAAGTTGGATCATGTGTGCACCTTGGGGATTATTTGCTGCCATTGTTGATGGTCAGTCTGTGTCTTCATCACTTTTCTGGCCCAACGATGCAACAGAATGCTGATAAAGACCAGATAGATGTCAGGTCAATTGTCCTGTTACTTTAAAAGTTTTTATTACCTTCTAAGGACCAAGTAACTCTGAGCAAACTGCTGTAATCTATTTCAGAATGCATCATTAAACTGAATAGACAGTATGCGTCCACACCTGTTAGCAAAGGAATGTATATGATGAGTAAAAGAGGCTGTATCAATACTTGCTGTTACTGAAAAGTGCTATACATGCACTTATTAATTAATTAACTAATGACTGACTCTGAATGATGTCAGTATTATGACTGAAGTAGTTTTAGGTTGAGGCTGAAACCAAAATGCATTCACAGCTGAGGAGTGAGAGGATGTTTGAGGAATGTTTAAGTCATAAATTGTGCAATGCTTATCAACAGTGTGCAGGAGGAAATATTGGGGAAAAAAAGAGTAACATGATGGTTACAATTACAGTGAGAGGAAGGGTTCTGTTTTATGTTAAGAGAGATGTCAGAGAGGAAGAGAGGGTTAGGAAGCTGGGTCAGAGCCCTCATATGCTGTTTAACACCTGACACCAAGGTCCAACCGAGGTTCATAACTCATGGAAAGAGAGGTGAGGAAAAATCGAGTGGGAGAATAAAAGAAAAAAGGAAAAACCTAACCCCCCCCAGCACAGTTCGTCAGTCTGTTCTGACTTTCTGTCAAACATGTGTCACAACTCTGCCTTTTTCTAAAACTTTTCAGTAGAAATTATGCAGATTTTTTTTTTTTTTTTTTTTTTTAAACTTTGCTTACAACATTCAAAAGACCAAATTCAAAGTAACCATTTCTGACCAAAGACTTGTAGCACAGTCCAAAGGACTCAGAGCAAAGCCTCTGGTAGAAAAATCAGGGTAGGTCACAATGAGTCCTTGGCTTACTCCAACATCCAGCAGATCAAGGGCCTCGAACGAAAGCGGTACTGACACTGACCTCTGCAAGACCCAGCAACTGAAACAGCCGTAACAAGGTATTAGCAAGCACCTCTTTGTACCCTCCAACTCTCAGCCTGGGTCTAAAGAAACACAGCTGCACAGGGTGTTTTCCAGGGCGGAGGGCAAACCTGCAAGCAACGTGGTGCCCCTGGCTAAGCTCAAGGGTGCAGCTGGAAGGTCAAGAACTCAAAGCAATAGGAGCAAAGTTTACCAAGATTTATTTTTAAATGACATTTAACTCGCTGAGGAAAAAAGCACTAATTCCACTTAAGTTTTGGAAATAATTTTTTAGAGGCAATAATGTTGGTTTTTTTTAAGTTTTAAATTTATTTAATGTATTTTTAAATAACGGGTATAAGTTTAGTTTGCCCTCTAAGAGTGCAGTATAGCTGTGTGTGTGATTTTGTGTGTGTATGCATGTGCAAGCACGTATGGCGGTCGTCTCTGTGTGACTGTGGGCGTCTGGAGGAGAGAGAAGCCTCATCTGTTACCAGCCCAGCCCGGCCGGCCCACCACATGAAGTAGAACGACAGGGTGTCACCGCCGACGACAGTGATGGATGCCCTAAATTCTGTAGGCAACTTGGGCAATTGGACACATTAACAACAGGCACCTGCTTTCCCCCGTACAAATCTATTAAAAGATAACAGCAATGGCGGCTCCCGTACTATTAGTAAATTATAGCTGTGTCTGAGTGTGAGGTAAGTGTGGGCCTCCCTTCTCACCCCCACCCCCTCCACCCTCCACTGTTGCACTCTCTCATTGGCAGTCTCACAGTGCCACCCAGTGGCAGTAATTTATAATGCAGAGGAGAATCACGCCACGGTAAATCATTCCATGGTTATCTGAGGAAAAGATCCATGGACTACAAATTAAACTATTTCATCTAGAATTTTCACTGGATCCACAAATAATTCCATGATATATAGATTTTTGAAACTCAAACACAAAACCCACAAGAATATAATTAACAAACGTGTTACGATTATAGTTGATCACTGAAAATTGTTTGGAGATACTCACTTGGGTGAAACAGTTTATATCATGTTAATCTGTGATGTTTTATTTACAATAGAGTGTGTGTGTTGTTCTTCATCCTCATGTGCACGTCATAGATTTCTCTTACAAGCTATTTTTCCATAAACAAGCCTTTCCTTGAGTTGACTGGGCCAAATGGCCGGTGATTGGAGCCAATGTGGCCGATATAAAACCATTATGATCTACTCAAGACCTCCTCTATTAAAACGTTTACAGCGGACCAGTACTCTCAACATGACACCATTATGACATATCTTGGGCAAGAGCTCAGGTACGCCACATAAACGTGTGTCACATAAATTGCTGTGGGTAAATATTTCTGTCTGCGAGTGGGGGAGGGGGCACGTGTTTGCGAGCTGGCCAAGAATAAAGGGAGGACAAGACCAGTAAATACTTTTACAGCAGGCAATTTGTCAAGATGTGTAAATGTCTCCAATTCCCAACAGCACTGGAGTAAAATTTACAGTCACTCGGGAAGTGACAATGCACAAAAAAGGACCACTTTTTACTCTCTCTCATCTCCCTCAGACCACTAAAACCCTCCATAAATCTCCGCTGGTCCCTCCAGATGTCTGCTGTTGTCAGATATCATGCCTCGACAATGCCTTCCGCCATCATTGTCTCGACAGAAATATGATATGTGAAACTGCAGTGTCACATCACTTAACGTGATTTAGCCTAAGCTAGCCTGCACCATTTTAATCAATCAAAAACGTCACCTTTTTCCCCTGTAATGATGGAAGCAGTATAGGATCTTGTGTTGGGGTGATCTATAAGACTTATCCAGGCTAATGTTTTATGACTACTGCCAGCTAATGTACTAAAGGATACTCCTCACTTCCTGTCATCTGGGTTTCTATGTAACTCACAAATACGTAGGCCAGTATGACCGCATAGACAGTGATGTAAACGTTACATGTGACATTAGATGTGTTTGAAACCTAAAGACAGTCTCCAATAGCTGTGCTTATTGGATCTGTTTTCTGGGTGCTGTATATTTACTCTGTACACTGCCAGGTAGTTTGCACATATATGTCCATCAAATGTCAAAAACAGTGAGTATGGTGGTTGTGAATTGCTCCTATGAGCTTGGTAGATTATGCATGCTTTGCTCAAATATCTCTCTGAGGGAACTGTTCTGTAAGTATAAAGTGCCACTGGATAATCATGGTTTTCAGCAAATCAACAATCGGTACGAGCAGGATATTGTAGCTTCTACCAATGACGTCCAAATATCACAAAACCTACCAGATATTTACCAATTCCTAATAATTCTGTCTGGAGATGCACTACAGACTTAACCATGGTCAATAATTATAGGTAATAAAAATCCTCAACTTGATCAGCAGAAACAGTTATTCTGCTAAATGTTCCCTTTATACTAGAGAAATGTGCACAATAGAATCACTTTCCTGGTAAACTTGTATCAGACCCACGTTTAAGACAACCCAAACCTTAAGATTAAATACCACTTCAGAGTGGGTCATCCACTAACCAGAGGATCGCTGGTTAGAACCCAGTCTCCCCCGTTCCATGTGCTGAAGTGTCCTTGGGCAAAATTCTGAACCCCAGAACTGCCCCTGATGGCCTGCAGTGTGTGTGATGTGCGATTGAGAAAGAGCTGCGAATGGATGCACTGTATGAATGTGTGTGTGAATGGGTGGATGGTGAAACTGTACTGCAAAGCTCGATATAAATACAGACCATTTACCATTAAGACATCAATTGCTTGTAATGAAATACCACAGTATACAAGTGGAATGGCAATTGTACCTGTAACCACAATGGAATGACTGGATCCACAAGCCAGCAGCTTCACCGTGCCCAGCCGATCCGAGGTGAACTCTCTCAGGTGGGCCTCCTGTGGAGCGATGTCCTCTGGCCTTCCACATCCAGTCTGACCAAGCTCCCCACTACCCCAGCAAAGCAGATCAATGTCCACCTCACATGGTATGTCCTGGGAACACAGAAAAGAAAAGTATATTAATATTATAATAATATTATTTAGAAAGAAGAACCGTATCTATGGGGGGACATCCGTTTTCCCTAAGCTTAGAACCATTAATGTATAAAACTACATCCATGCTTAATACTCTGCTTTGGAACTACAGTTATTGATATTTTAGTAGTATTTCATCAGCTAAAATTACATTTCACACACAACAATAAACATATGTTATATACATTTGTATATGTTTAAGTAATATGGCATCATAATCTGTCATTATGTACAGTAAAGATACACACACAGTATGATGAATAATGGTTAAAATGGTTAATTTTTTTCAAATTGCTGTTCACATACTGGTCTTCAAGCCAGCATTAAGTTTGCATAAAGTCAATGTGAAGTTCCCGGCCTTATTTGTGAGGATCTGTGGATCTGAAGCAGATCATCGATATTCTCCTCAACATGTTTATTTACAATCTGCCCTCTGTGCTAATTAGAATGTGACTCTGCACACACATGCAAACACAGGAAGCTGGATGTATGTGCAGCCATGCACACAGATAGACATGCACACACCCCACAGCGATATTACCAGCACGATTCCATCCGACTGATATTGGAATTTTCCGAAAGAGCAAACCAATAGATAACCTATTACAAAACTATAAGAGATCAATAGCTAATTTCTTTGCATTGATTACCACTTGGACATTTAACATGCGCCCTGTGGCCACAGTGTGTGCACCGCAAGCTCAGATCCCCATTGGCCCTCATGAGTATTAAAATTATCGATTCAGACAGAGGACTAAAAATGTCAAGCTGTTCATTAATCTTAATAAAGACTGGACTTGACCAAGGCACCCTTTCTCCCAATGCGGGGATACAACCTATCCAACCAGGAGCACATACACGGCATAGATTAATGAGCTTCTGCTGAGGGATGTGATTTAAGTCTTTGCCATTAATAGATCTATTACAAAAGAACAAGGCTTTTATAACAGTGCATCTCAGAACAACATTTTAAATTCATACAGAATGCTTAATACTAGTTGTACTCAAGATCCAAAGTACAGATAGTCACTTAAACATATTAAATTTGAAGTGAGATGATCCTCAGCTTTGATTTGAGGAGATTTACATCAACATCGACAGAACTGCGTAGGAGATCGTCTTAATCATAGTACGACGATTTTAGGGGTTTTGGTGTCTTGGCTGCTAAATGTTTATGGGGCAGTTCTGTGTTGTTTCACATGGCTCAGGATTTCCGGAAAGTGAAAAGTTGTCATTGAGACTGAGTTGGAGTTAATATGAGCAGAAGGAGGAATAATGATGCTCAGGAAAACCAAAAATCTACCAACATAAGAAATTTCGGTAACACTTTATATTAGGGAACACACAAAGTGAACATATCCAAGCACTTGATTCTTGATTCATGTACAACAACTTCCTTACTTACCATCAATAAGCAGTAATTAGGAGGTTATTAAGGGAAAACTGTTAATCAATGGAGTAGTTGCAGAATAAGGTCATAAAGAATAAGGCATTAATAAGTGCTGTATAATGACTAATAAAGAGCCAATATGCCTCTAATATGCATGCTAATAAGCAACTAGTTAATGGTTGATATGTGTTTCTCTAATTTCTTCTTAAAACGTACAATGTTTTCTCATCTGGGATTTGTTTAATGTAAGAGTAGAATCTATGCACACTAAAGAGCTTCCTTACGGCTACATTTCATTATTCAGCAGGACACAGATCCTAAACATAAGACCAAAGAAGCCAGAGAGCATTTCAAGGTTTTTAGGGAAAGAGGTAGAATATCCTTGACTGGTTTGAGTCTGACTGAGACGTAGAGACCCCAAAACAAACAAGAGGGGGAGAAGGATACAGGATAAAAATAAAATTAAAATAAATTTTAGACGAAGACATTTCAATAAACAAATAATAGCCAAAACAATTTTAACTGGCCTGACTTTACCAGAGTCCTCTACCAGATTTTTTGATAAATCAAAGGCCACAACCATAGTCCATTATACACCACAAATGTTGTTGTGCCATTGGTAAAGCAGTTACTTTCTCCCCTGGACATCTGCTGCACAAATTCTCATATCGATTTTACAAAGGCATTCTGGACACATGTAGGACATCTCTGCATTCATTGCATTGTTTGACTTCCTCAGAGCTCTTGAAGCTCAAGGTTTTGTTTTTGTGTTGTTCCTGTCACGTAGGTGTCATCCAGACTTTCGTGACATTTACAGCAAGGCACTTATTCTCAGAACGATGACATGAATTTATTCAGAAAAATCCTGATCTTTGTAGTGGAATTCATGACATGCACAGTCTGTTCAATTGAGCAATATCTGATAATAGCACCCAAGGGAAATTGTTAAAGAAAAGACATTAAGACATTTGACAGAGAGGCACTCTTGGCCTTGAAGTTTTGACACTAGCATTAGACAAGCACTTATAATTATGTGAAAATACATTCATATATTAAGCACTGTTACATATTTTCTTGTCAAAAGTTATTCCAGTTTGACTACTCAAAAATTCAACCATTGGGGATTTTACTTGCCACGAGTACAAATCAAATAAAAGTCATATTGAGCAGTTTTGCTTTGTATCATTGTGTGACAAATAAACACAAACACAAGAAACACGAGTAGCAGAAAACTCCTATGAACTAACCTGAGCCAAAGTGAAAGGACAAGAACTTTTCTTTTCTCTGTCTCCTTTCTTTCCCTTCATTTTCTCACTGTGGTCTGGTTTTAATGTGGCCATGACTCCATTTTCCTTCTCCTCCCATTGTTGCACTCACCACATTGGCAGGGTAACCGTCGCCATAGCACCTTGTGTTGACTGCACACCAGCTGACTGAGATTAGTTAACCATTATTTTAACTTGGGGAAACTTTGAAAGCGACAAGAGGCATTTTAGAAAGTCACTAACTCCATATCACTGATTTGTATTTGAACAGGAAGAACCATTGTGTGGACTCCTACATCAGTTTGTTTTTACTTTCCAAACGTGGTTGTTAATGATTTTTCTGCAACAATATATAAAAACAATTTAGTATGGCTGATTCATTTTAGGTGTCACAAATTCTAAAAATTCTCTGTATTAGTTCATATTGTGGATTTAGGTCTGTAAAAAGGCTCATTCACCTGGAAAGCTGAGCAGAGTTGAAGGCGCCAGCAGGGGGCAGCGACAGAGCAGCTGCAGTCTAAACAGGCAGTTTATGAGAGCCATCCAATCTGTAAGATAAATATTTATATCCGGTTAATTCACATCCTAATTGATTAGACAAATCTATTCAGCATGTTCTCAAATGTTGCACCATGACATTTAGTATTTAGAAAAGAAAATTATGAGGGGCAAAACTTCCTATGTAAGCAATACCATCATATCATTTTGCCTGTGTGGATCAATCTGCTACCCAGACTTCATTGCTATTCCTATCCGTCTCACACTTAAGAAATTAAAGCATTACTCAAAATGGACAAAGAGAGGAAAGCATTGATAAACAGGACACTCATAAGTATTATTGTAAACATCTGAAAGCCATTTAGTTCTGCACTAAGGGAAGAACAGAGATTATTAAGAGTCACATCTTACTTGATAACCAGTGCACAAAGTATAAAAATAAAACACAAAGGAATAAAGTATCACATCTGTAAACATTTCAATATTCAAATACAGTAAGATGCATTATAATAATCAGTAATGCTAATATGATTACATATCTCTTGAACAGGGGAGTAATGACATGGCTATTATTTACTACATGTCTTTCTACACTATCACAGCAATTCAAAAAGTTATATGGGATGTCAATTGTATTTACACTGTGGTAAGTTCTGGAAAATGTTGAAGTTATTTATGTGGGTTAAATGCTTTGGAAGGCTTCACTGTTAAATCCTATAACCATGCTGGGTCCAGTCTCAGAGTTAGCGAAGCCTTATTAGCCAGACAAGAACAGTAAACATCAGATAGTATTAAAGCTCAACCGTAAAACACTAACAAGCGGCAATTGTAAAATTAGAGGAGTATAAATGCTCTTTTATTAAAATGTTTTCATTTATTTGTTTATTTGACAGAGACAATGCTCACTAATAGAGTTAGCGGAAGAGGCTAATTTGAATTGTTGTCCCCGGCCAGTTTTAAAAAATGGCAACCTACAATTAAAATAAAATGACTTGTTAGAGTCAATACATACGAGCAATATATACAGACTACCATTCAGACAGGTGCAATGCATAAGAAGAAGTAACAACAATATGTGAGACAAAGCTAATTCTCATTCACATTCACTAACAGGAGTTATTTACTGAGCTCTGAAGCAGCACAAACAAATGCAACACAACTAACAATGTAGCAGACAAGCGTCACAGTTTTTATTCACACTCAGACTAGTTGGAATAAAGTTATTAACCTGCACAACTGTGTAGTCCAACATCTGTCTCTCTCACTATGTGACGCCAGCTACAATGTTCCACCAGCGGGGGGATGGGGGGGGTATAAACACATCTAACAGAACATTAGAGACAGAAACACTGCGTGGCTACAAAACTCACCTCATATCATTAACTAACAACTAACTGCCACAGTTGACGCCTTTCTGTCCACACACACACACACACACACACACACACACACACACCCTTCCAAAGGTCGTAGAAGCT